TGTTTTTTATTCTATACGGTTTATGAAATTGACTTTACGTTTATCTATTTACTGTTTTTTTTTCAGCGTTTCGATGTATGACTTAACAATTGACAGTGCTCGAGTAATAAGACTCGCTGTTGAATGCTCTTGGAAAGAACCTATGGCGACTTTGCTCAGGTTGCTACAAAATAGTCAAGAATTTAGCGCTCGTTGTTCTTTCATATATATATGTTTGAAGAGAAATAGGAGTGAACCCTCGACCGCATACTCGTCAGCTTCTCGAGACTGTTGCTGCTAATTTGAGGGCTGAGAAGAACACTGTGGCTGCTTCCCGAGAGAAAGTGAGTCTCTCTAGAAGCTTTCACAAGATCATTATCTTATTTTTTAGCAGAGGCAGTCATTTTGGGATGTCTTCTTTGGGACTCCTGAGTCACCAGCTATTCGTGAAAAATGTGATGTGATTGCTAGCATAGAGAGCTTATTAATCGATGCTGATGCTAATATGGGTACACATTTCGTTGCGCAAACAACTATTCCGTCGGATTTAAGTCACGGAAGGTGCGCAATGTAAATTTTTTGGTGCATTTTCTCTAGTGTCGCTGTTTATCATGCAGTCATTTTGTTTCTTTTTTGCTGATAACATGGTCTGAATGGAAATTTATCAACGGAAAGCCCCAATTATCTTCATTTGCAGCTCATCCTCCGTCAATCACACACCTGTGTTGTCAGAGACTCCCAAAAGGCCTCCAAAACATCAAGCTCCGGATCATGTGAAGGATCCTATAACAGGTTTAATGTATCTTACAGAGCTCGGTCGGCGTCAAGTATGGAGCGGCGAAAGGCAAGTGTTTGTAAATTCTCCACGTCTCATTGATTTTAGATTTATTCCCTATATCAGGCGGTTCGACTTTTCCACATGTTCCCAATTTATTCCACATTGGAAATCCTTGCCAAGGCCATATGAATTTCCTCCATTAGTTTTTCTACTGGCAAAAGTGAATGAGTATTTGAATCGGACCCCTGTTGTGAAAGCAATAGCTGACGAGTACTCAAAAGACTCTGGTTGGTTAGATGGAATTGCATATTATTCACATGCTTGTCTTTGCAACTTTTCACGATTAATTTGTCATGCATTTACAGTTCTTGGCGCAATTGCTCGTACAGTCATGGATCCTCCTTGTCCGAATCCAACGAGCCCAATTTCGTCGCCAGTCTTTTCAAAAACACTTAAGGTTACCCCTCCGGTGCTGCGAATTCGGGTATCTTCAACCATTTCCCTATTATGTTGCCTGCGTCCAGTGATGTTTTTAGGTTCTTGCAAATTATGGAGTTCTCCTCAGCATGTTCATCATCTTCTTGTTCGCTCGATATGGAATTTGGGCACTTATTCCAGTGTTGTTAGTATCGTTTATATGCGCAATATTTTGTCTCGCAGCGGAAGATCTCTGAGAATATGTTTATTTTCTCATCATATTCAACTTAGCGGATCTTTTACATTTTTTACAGATTGGAATGTTTTTTTTAATTTGTAGACTGAAAGTTCATTCAAAATCACTTATTGTTTGGCTAAATATTTCTTCGCTGTGGATTATTTTTTTACAATATATTTCACGAAGATCTTGAACAAGAAGCATGACCTAGTGATATCTGAAATACTGATACATCTCACTTCAATAAATATTTTATTGTCTGTAAAAGAACAGCTTGAAATTTTGATGGAACTGGTTGGTCCCGCCGCTTATTTACAACATTTATGACGGAAAAGAGAAGATACCGACTTGAACCACAAATTTCCCTCTTAATTACAGAACATAATTAGATACAACAGGAAAAGAGCGAGAGCTACAGAATATGTGATAGATTTTAAAAATTCCAGGTGATGTCTAT